AACAACTCAAACGCAACAAGCAACAATCAAACATCTCCAGTCCTTCCGTCAATTTCAACAAGCTATGATTCATCTGCAAGTTTGTCAATCATCAAGGAATGGAGGGATCGGTTTGGTTTCTTGAATGTTATTTGTGTTGCTGGTTGTTTTTATTTTGTTAACAGGTGAATGATGATGGTGATGTTTGAGGAAAACTGTGATGGTGAAGAGGAGAGACTGAGAATGGAAACGGAGGTGAACAGTGACTTAGGGTTTTTTTGGCCAAATGAGAATGAAAACGAAAATTCTTAGGGTCCATCAGATGGGTTAGTGGGCCGTAAGGCCCAGCTGTTTTGTCTTCCATCTTCGTACCCCCGTTTCCCGTTTTGCCCCCTGTGTGCCGATTGTTTTGTGATTTGGGCTAAGCCCATTGTTTTTTTATTTTTACTGTTTTGCTGAGTGTTTGTTTGTGATGTTGGGCTCAAGGCCCAACCGAATTCTGGATTTACCCCTGTTGCTGCCACTGTACCCCCCCTTCTGATTTTATTTTTAGAATTGTTTTGTAATATATTTTTTGTACATATAAATGCCACTTTACTATTTTTCTATTTTCTTCTTAGGATTTATGGTATTATTTTTTTTACTTAGACTATTTTTGTATATATTATAGATATTTTATATACTAAATATATAGGATTTTATATTCTATTTTCTTCTTTATTTCTTGTAATAATTTCGTTTAGAATTTATTTTCTTTTTAGAAGTTTGTTAATCTTTTGAAGTTGATTTCTCATCTCCTTTTATCATTGGATTTTTCTCACAATTTCATTTTTGTAGGTCGATGACGAGACCTCCGTAAACCATTATAAATCAACTTGTTGATGGATGATGTAGGATCCGAGACTGTTTTTTCTCTCCTCATCTTTTCTTCTTCTGATTTTATTTTGCTTTTCTGCTGTGCTGGCCGTTTGACATGATTTAATCAGAGAATGATTTTCCATATCATTTCTCTATCTTGTCTTTGACACGGATATCAATATGCTACCTCTTGGGGTTCGACTTCTTTTATAAGTCGAATTATGACGGTTCAGCGTCACATTGGTTCTGTTTCGAAGTATCATTATCAAGGATAAAAGAGTAGAGCTTGGAAATGGAGCTTGCACGCAAAAGTCAAGGGTCAACGGAACCACTCCGTTCGGTAACATTGTTTTTATTTCACTTCTTTCATCTCTTTCTTTTTGGAGTGTTATGAGTATTCGTTTAAATACGTGGGAAATGGTGATTGAGTGGCCACCTCTCAATTGCCTAGAGTGTTTAGTATATGTCCTTAGGACAATATGCGACGCATTCGCTCCTACGTCTAGCGCTTCGCGTGTGCGTCCCGTTTCGAACCTTTTCTCTCGCGTCCTGGCGATTGAGACTTCCCTCTTTCTCTCGCATCCTGTCGATTGAGTTCTTTTCTCTTGCCCCCCGTGCAATCGAGACTGTTTTCCGTAGTTGGCCTAACTACGACTGCTCTGATCTCTCATATCTGTTGAGAGTACGTAGGCATAGGATTGCGATAATCCTAGCGAGCACTTTTCCCCCTTTCTTGTAGTTGGCTGAACTACAGCTGCTCTGATTTCTTATACCAGACGAGAATATGTAGGCATAGGATGCGATATCCTAGCAAGCACACTGGCAACTAACTTCTATGTTCTCTCGCTGTCGTGCGATCGAGACTTTCCCGCTGACGACTAATTTGTTCCTTTCTCTTGCCCTAGGCAATCGAGACTAGACCGTAGTTCTAGTTCCCGTAGGTTCTCGTACCTTTAAACCCCGACATACTACGTCCGTTCTACCGCAAACAAGTAACGCCTAAGTTTCCAATGGTCGAGTAGCATACCCCTAACTGCTAGAATGCGCACGCTAGTATCATCAATCTTTTCTCTCACCCCGTGTGACCGAGAACACCCTTTGCTTTCCCGTAGTTAGCCTGAACTACGTTTTGCTCTGATTTCTCATGCCAGATGAGAATACGTAGGCACAAGACGCGACGTCTTGGCGAGCAATTCCCCCCGTAGTTTCCCGAACTACGTTGACTCTGACTTTCCCATTGCACAAGGGAATACGTAGGCATAGAGCGTGATGCTCTATCGAGTCAGTTCTTTCCGTTTAGCTTTAACAGCCGTAGATAGATTGTTTTTCACCCATAGACTAGACAACCCAAGTGTGGATCCCGTCGAGTACGACGGACGTGAGGGGTGCTCATACCTTCCCCTTGCGTAACCGACTCCCGAATCCAGACATGGTTGCGATGACCTTGTCTTTCCCTTTTTCTTTAGGTTTTTGCGATCGTTTTCTTTCCCTCTCTTTGGGATAAATAACGAAAGTGACGACTCTTCTGTTTTTTTCGCCGATTGTTTTTCGCAGTAGCGACAGTAACAAATGAATCTCATCTCCTCATATTTATATCCGCTGGCACGCAAAATGAATCGTCGCCTAGACCCTCGAGTATCCCTACTCGTAGGCCGTCAGACGCATTTATTATTTCTGACACGTGGCTCAAAAGACGTCACACTTGTCTTTTCAATCCCCCACACACGGCTCGATGGAATGACGTGTTCGCACTCCCACTCCCACAGTGTGTCGTGAGCACGTCCTCAGAGAAAAGTTTAAAACAAGTTACAATGTCGAGCAAAGGTAACGACCTTGGGCCCCTCGCGAGCAAACGGCCTCAAGATAATCACGAAGCTGAATCCTGTTGTCGAACACATGCAGACCTCACGAGCAGCAGGTCCGAAAAATCTCGCACACGATCGCTCCGTCGGGCACAATGAGCGACTTTCACGCTTTCTCGCGAGTGTAGCTCCGCGAGCTCACAACCACGAAGCCGAACAAACGCCTTACTCGCGCAAATTTCCTTCATCCCTCTTCGACACGCGAATTGACTCTAAGTCATCACTCCCTTGACTGGAAGCAATGACTTGGGGGGCTCCTGTTCTGGACTGGACCTGGGGTCGGCCCACCGTCGGACACAACCCAGTCCAACTTTGCATCGAGGAGGGCCCAACACAAGCCTAATCCTCTATAGCCGTTGGGGACCACGATCTCCACACGTTCCTCAGAAGTGCTCCACGTGCTCCTCACGTGGGAACACATCACCAACTGAACCCACTTTCGTGAAAACAAGTTATTCACTCCCCATAATTCGTAGGACAATTAACCCAAAACGAAGACCACGTGCGAGTCTTCCCTACTTCCACGCAGGATCTAAACAATCATCTGTTGTGGGCCTTATGATCTAACCCACAGCAGATGACCGTTGGCCCAGCGTTGGAGGCTCATTATAAATACTCTCCTCCACTGGAGGATCAGATATTCTAAACTCATTTTGTACTTGTTTTCTCTCTTTCACTCTGAACCTCACTTTAGCATCAGAATGTCTTATAGGTACACCCCGTCATCTTTTTCATCACCGACGAATTTGAAGTTTACGACGTATTGTTGGCCGCTGATTAAACTTCTACTCCTGATAAGATCATAAACTAATAACATCATTAGAAATACTCCAATCTGGTAGAAAACTGATTTGGTAAGGACGGGTACTAATATCAAATAAGGGTATGGATGGTTAACAAGGACTTTAGTAAACAATCGTGTAGATAATGTTGTCGAAATTGAAAGATGGACTATCTAATTGGATAAATTCATGACTTTAAAAAAAAAAAGAAAGAAAAAAAGAAAAAAAAAAGTTAATTTGATGACAATTTACCTTATAAGAAGTCAACTATGTAAATAAATTGTTGCCTTCAGACTCGATTAGGATAAAATCTTTGATAATGTCAATTAGAGTTTTCTTCAAACTTCCTTTATTGAATTTGGATTTCCATCCATTTGATCCAGCTCATCATGAATTGTTATCTCTTCTTTTTTTTTGTTTATCATGTGGAATGGAAATAATGTGTTATCTTTCAAGCCTTCCCATAGCCTCTGTCAAGGAAAATCATTCTCCCCGCCTTTTCATTTTCACACGTGATGCTGTTTGAAGTGACTCTCGAAAACCTACGTGCAACTCCACCAACAGACCACTGATATCTCACCTTATATTTGTAGATGCAGTCCTATTTGCAAAGGCAAGAAGTCTCACAACTTTGTGCCTACTCTTTCTACGTTCCATCACTGCAATTAAAGAACTTCAACTTCATGTATTTGTTGCGGTTTGGATGATGACTTCTGATAAATTCTGCCTACATTGTGTCAGTGATCGTTGAGATTTTAAATATTTTGGGAAATGCTTAGGAAACTATCTCCCTTTAGCATCTTACATTGGTTGCTCATAACATGTCAGACTCCTTCTGTACCTATTTCAGTAACCCTTAACACAAACACACAACTGAGAGACACATTCTATACCTATTTCAGCCTCAAGCACCACTACATTAATGTTGATGAAAGTTACTTGGCAGTTAGATTTTTTAAGATACTTTACCAGGAACCTTATGCATTCTTCAAACTGAGCTTTATGCCATCCACATGGACATCCCAATTGCTATCGATAAATGTTTCATTGACTCAGATTGTTACATTAAATCATCCCTCTGCATAATTATAATCATGACTCATTCCCATTTACTATATGTACAAAAAATACGAAGTCTCTCCACATGCCACCATGTCCCCCCACAAATACTTTAAAATACAATTTTGAAGTTCTTCTGCCGATAACTCCCTCTCCTATACAATGAACAAATGAAAGAACCATAAAATGATATAAAACAACAACTTATAGATAGAGAGGTAATTTTTTGGTGTATACTATGCCAGATGCCTTAAGTAATGACAGCTAGTAAACCTTGAACCGATCAATTTGCCAACTGTGCTTACTCGTTAATGTAAGGATGCACTTCAAATCTAGAGGCAACTTTCCAGGAAACTCTCAGTTTTCAATAGAGTTAAAGGATCTGTGGAAAAGCATCTAACAACTGATGGCTCTTGTGTATTACACCGTAGTCATCTCACGATTATGAACCGGAATAAACTCAAACACCCGCACAAATTGCTCCTGAAAAAAAATCAAGTTGTATCAGCTTGAGGTTGCAAATAAACTTTGATGTACATGCCAAACATATTTATGCTAAGTAAATTCTGCATATTGTTTCTTAAATACTCGAAGTTAGGGCATCTTTTTAGTGGTTGCAACACTATGTCATGAACTTGAATTTTAGACTAACGAATGCATACATACAATACACACACACACACGGAGACAGCGAGAAAATGAAATACTGAGAGAGACCTGTTGACCAAGACGAGCAACAAAACTTTGTCTCGTCAATATGCTTCACATCAAGTCCAATAAACCAGGATCCAGCACTCACATCATCATGGGCATAGGTACGAAGAATGGATCTGAAAACTCAACAAAGTCAAGACTGATGCATAAACAATTGCAAACAAAATTTCGTGCAGTAAAGAGTGGATCTGACCTGTTTATTGATATGAATTTAGCCAAAGCTTGTGATATAACATACATCTCTCCCGATGCATGACGAAAGTATCTGTTGCTCAAGAGATTTAATTATCATTTCAAGAGGAGATACATGGATTGAATTAACAAAAAAATTGTGGTACTAATGGACTATTCAACATGGGTGCAATCTTTGCTTGATTATTATCCTCAGTAGCCCATGATATAATTGAATAATCTTTTGCGAAAATGGAATTTGGTATAATCACGTATATTTCACATCACATATTAGGCTTGTCAAGTAAAGATTGTTTTGAGAAGCAAAAATTAAAATACCTAATGCAATTTTTATTTATGGGACCAATCAACAAACAAAAGCACTTTAGAATACCATGTAAAAAAGCCTCAGTTTCGCACAAGATCCACATGCAGCTATTTCAAACTGACCAATGTTGTGTCATACACGACTAATGCAATAAAATCTATGCAATTGTTAAATCATATGAAATAATTGGTTTGTTGACTTACGATTTTTTGTCACCAAACTTCCACCATTCTGGTTCGTACCATTTATGGTTCCTGTCAACACTCACAGACAAACAGTATAAAAACCACAAAATGTGGTCTAGATAAGTGTATGACATTTTAAACACGATAAGGGGCTCACTGTTCAGAGAAAACTTCGCCTGATTTCATGCATCCCATGTATATCCGAGGTTTGTCCAAATGAGTTGCAAGTGTAGCTCCCAAGGCATCTGCGAAGGAAGAAACGTATAAGTGGCAAGACATAAATAAAATGTTATATCTTTTTGTAAATTTATTAAATAGGCAAAGAGGCATACAATAAAATGTTTTCATATATGCAAAAGAAGAATGTTAACTTTTATTTTTCAGAAGATGATGATATATTTATAAGGATCAGTCCAGGGTTATGAGGCATTAAATCAAGTTACACTACAAAAGTTTCTCCATTTCATCCCCCTTGCTTCTATCCTGTGGTTGACATCATTGTTAATTTCCCCATCAATTTATATGGTCTCAAGATGCTTAGATAGAGAAAATTGTGAAAAACTAAAATACAATTGTCCATTAAATAAATTAAAAATGTTATTTAACAACAAAATATTTCGAGTTTTCTATTGGGCTTGTTAATTTTAGAAATCTTTAAATCACAAACTTTCCAACAAAGCATCAATGCGTCCTCTAAAACCAACCAATTTCATGTTGCTTTCTAACCCCACTAAGGAAAATATCCAATGAGCATGTGCCCGAGCAAAGCAACTGTTTGTTTAATGTTATCAAGTGGATTATCCACTAAGGAAAGTATCCAATGAGTTTAGTCTTTTAGATGTTTTTTTTGCACATGCATCCAAAGTTAAAGTGGATCCTCCAATGAAAACCTTGGATGCATCTTGAGAGGTATTTTTTTTCTTCCTATATGGCTACAATTTCTATCAAAAAAGATGCAACCATGTAGGATGAAAGAAGTTTTAGTTGTAGCTACTAAAAGTAAAACTAAGAGTCAAGAAGTTTGAATACTTAAAGTTCATCACAGATTTCTACCATGTCTACTAAGACAAGTTTTGAATGTACTCACAAAACACATCCAAAAATTAGCACCGAGATGTATGTTTTTTTGCAGATAATATAGTCCTACTTGGAGAGTCAAAGAAGGATTTAAATGAGAGGTTGAGGGAAGGCTATGGGGGTGATTATGTAAATTCGCATGGCATCCGTGTCCATAATGGGGGTGATTATAAAAATTCGCATGGTATCCGTGTCCAGAAAAGTTTATGTTAAGAAATGTGGTTGGGCCTAATTCAACCCTACAAAATCGGTTGCTCAGTGGGTTTTTTAAGAAGCTAGGAGATGTAGCTTTCAAACACTCTAAAGTTGATAAAAAGTGCTTTTATTTGGGGCAACAGTTATAGGATTAAAAGAAAACGGTAAACTTATTGATAATTTAATAAAAGGTTATTAAGAATCATTGCAAGCTTAAGGTCAGATGATTGTATTCCCATCAGTACAAACATGGCTTTCTTTAATGCATAGAATGGATTTTCCGGCCAGTGCAATTAAAAGATAGAATAAACACACAACAATAGCAGTGACATTAAGTAAACTGCATTATAAAAAAACCACCTCATCCAGTTAAAGAAAAACTAACCAATATTTACATAAACATCATCATTGACTTTAGCATAAAACTCCGCATCCCATTCATCTGCAGCGTGAGCAAAAAACAATTTAGCCTTCTCTGCTTGCCCCTGGGATCCTTCCATGTGATCATCCTGACAACAAAAGTGTTGAAGGTGATGAGCTATCTAGCATATGTTGTTGACCTTATTGTCTATTCACAGGAAACAACAAATCACAAACCATATGTCATACTTAAGCATCGACAAGTTCAGATTTGCCTGCTTATTTAAATTACTGACTGAAAAAACATAGAGTATGAAGCCTTCAAATTGATGTCAATTCGATATTGGTGTAAGCACAGATTTGCATCAACAATTATACAACTTATGTTTTAATAGAATGTATCTGATTTTAACCATTGGAAACAGAAGAATAAAATAATGCAACACTCATCGCAATAACTAATTAAAATATAACAGTGACTGAAAAGCCAGAAGCTCCATTTCCAAATTCAGAATGAGAAAATTCACATGGATTTTTACAGGAAAGTTAATGCCAAAATTTACCAAGAAAAATATGCTGTAAAAGCCATGAATTAGATATACATACTAGAATTAGGAAGTCATTCGTCAACCCATTCTCTCGATCAATGTCTTTATCTTGACTGTCCCCGCGATTTGCACTGAAATATTTTACGGAATTCATAAGTGTTTATAACCGATCCCCCTCAAAAAAATAACTATGGCTACCATCCCCAACAAGTTAAAATGTAAGAATTTCAACCTTCTACCAATAACAAATCGCAGAATGATGCCCTTTCCATCTTCAATTTTCTTCAAAGATGCACCTACAAAGATAGTGCTTTAAAATTAAATCAACTTCCGAAGCACAATGTTAGTGCAAAAACTGAAGCCCATTTTATTAAAATCTGGAAACAAACTATCCAAGATACACTAGAGCACTAAATCTTTCATAAACATTAGAAATAACTATGCACTTAATCAAAGAAATAAATATTTAAATACAATAGTACTATAAAAGAGTTACATTAAAAGTTTTCTCATTATTCAATAATAATAGCAGATGTTAAATGAATTAAAATATATAAATAATAGGATAGCGACTCTCCTTTCTATTTCTAATGTTGAGAGGATAATTTTTATTGCAACAGGAAACTAAAAAGGGAAAGTCCCTCATACGTTTTTATGTGCACATTAACTCGCCATCAACTTATGCAGTGAAGAAACAAACATAATTTTATGTTATTCAACTAGTATCAAATCATGTTAAAGCTATACTTTAGAGTTCACACTTTACAAAAATTATTTACATCGACTGTATATTTAAAGCTCAAAAGAGGTATATTATGGCAGAGTTATTTACAATGTTACAAACTTGTGTAATTGAGCAAGAGAAAGAAAAGAATAACATTACCATTTCCCATCCAAGCCTTGCGAATGGCATCTCTATTCTTCTGGCGGCCAAACTTTGTCAGTATACCTATGACTACCAAAGTCCTTCTCTTAGAGTAAGTCCCATTGCTCTCAATCAAGCCCTTTGAAACAAAACCCTCTTGTTTAGCAGCATCAAGTTCCACCCTAAGTGCATCAAGCTTCTTATGTTGTTCTCTAAATAACACATAATCAAACAATATAGTCACAAAAGACGTTAAGAAGCTTACAAACATCAAAGCAGATCATTAAGAAAATCAAACAAGAATCACTTTCTTTTTGTTAATTTCGGTAACATGTAAATTAAATTCACCTGCAGGCTATAATCTTCAATGTATCATCCACTGATATAGCCGATTGCCCCTAGAATGAAAACCTCTTTGTTAATTTTGCCAGAACAAAAATTAGAAAGGTGTGTGTCCCGAAGAGATTGATCTCGATAAATCACACAATACTAAATGATTCTTCCAAGTAGTTCTACACAGTTTAAGTGGTCAATAAAACAGACGCGCGATCAAATAGTTATTAAATTCAAAAAAGAAAAAAAAATCAGATGAAATTCAAGCGCAATTACATAAATCAACAAAAATCTGGATCCCTAACTCCACTCAACATCAATGATTCATGCGGAAATGATAAATGGCAATAAAACAGTAATTGAAATTGCAGCGGAATGGGCAATGAGTGAGAGTTACTGACCTGACCAGTGATCCTATCGAGCTCTTTGATGAGATAAACACGACTCTGTGCGTCCTGCCACAACCTAATATAGGAAAATTGAGATTAAAATACTAGAACAGTAGGAATAAAGGAAGGAATTGAAAAAGAGAAAGAAGAAGAACCTTCCGGCGACGTAGATAGAAGCGAAAGTGGCGAACATGGAGATGAATAGTGAAGGAATTCGGGATCGATTCGCCATGGTAGAAAATCGGTGTCTCGATCCCTTGCTCTGCATTTCGGAATTTGAATTTCGAATCCAATACTATATATGAATGGTTGAACAGATTTTTTTTTTGTGAATAAAAGCAATCGGAGACTCTTGCTTTTTCTGTGCTAGTGCTGGAACTGCTGGTAAACAGTCACCAACCTCTCTTTTTATTTGGTAGAATCCAACCACTCTCTTTTCACTTCTCTTTTCTTTTGATTTAGAGAAAAAAAAATATAGTTTTCTGTTTTATTTTCAAAACTAAATTTAATTTTGAATGTGCCTTTGTTTTTTCTAAAGAAAACTAGTAACTGAACCCGTCATTGCATGGGCAGGTATCTATTATGATTTTAGATAATTGATGCGTGATTGTAAATGCAATTGAAAAATAAGATAAGTAGAATAAATTTTGTTTTAATGGATAAATAGAAAAAAAAAAGTCGAGATATATGCACAAAGATTGCAATGATGATAAATAATTAAAATCAAATAGTAATAATAAAATTATAGGAAAAAAATAAGAATAAATTGTAATTGTGTAACAATAAAAATAAGGAATATAAATTTGAAAATAAATAAATAAATAAATAAGTTGTATAAATTTGAAAAGAAATAAAAATTAAAAAGATTAATTAGAGATGACAATGGGTAGGATATAGGTAGGGTACTATAATACTCATTGTCATGTCTATTTGGGATTTGAAAAAATCGCATACCTGAGCCCATATCCATTTGGGCTCCAAAGTCAGCACCCGTACTCGTGCCCTATGAGTATGTAAGTACCCATACCTGTACCCGTTACCCGCTTTCGTATTAAAAATAAATAGATCAATTATAAAAATCATATCATTTTAAGTTTTTAAAAACATTAAAATGTTTTTAAAAAAATTGTTGTTGAAATAAATGAACACTTATATTAAATACGTAATAGTTTAACATTGATATACTTTTTAAAAATGACAGACATACATTTTTATATAATAATATAAATTAAAATATATAAATATAAATTAAAATACGTAAATATATATTGTGCGGTGTAATATCTCAAATTTTACCATTGAGATTATTAGATTCATTTTGCACGTCATTTCATTCTGCATGGCATTTTAACTGACCGCTAACCAGTTTGTTCAGTCTGTTGGTTACTTTATTTTCGCTTATGAATTAATTTGCAAAGGAATTTGTTTGAACTCAGCGGGTGGATTTAATTGGACAATTGAAGCCGATGAATTCATTGGTATGGATTTAAGCGGATGGACTTAGTTGGACGAATTTATTCGTATGAATTCATATGGAAGAATTTAATCAAATAAATTCAATTAATTGGATGTATTTGGTTGAGCCTAATCGGATGAATTATCTGGTGAATCCAATCTAATAAATTTAGTCGGATGAAGTTGTTTAGTTGGTTAATCGGGAGAATTATTCGGATGGATTTGTTGCGAGAAATTCAAGTTAATAGAAAAAATAGAATTTTATTTATTCTATTATTTTTTCTATTACCATATTACAAGAGAATTACAAATTACAAAATAAATCATTAAAAAGGTCCTATTTTCTTTTAAGTTTGTCTTCTTGGCCGATTCTTCGATCTCGACTTTTCGAACCTGCAAAGAAAAATCCACAACAAAGCAAACAATTTTAATTGGTTATAAAAATGGATATTTTTCGGCTCCGATACCCTCAGTAAAGATTCATCATCGGGTACGTCGGGAGGGCAACGACAAAGTCGAAGCCAGCTCTCGACTTATTTTCTCGACTCCGGCCCAGACCCGACAGTATCTGTTCTAAGTTGTAGCCAGGAGAGAGAGAAAGTGATTTTGTTTAGAAAAGTGATTTTGAGAATAAGCGCTTTTGAAAAAACACTTTTTCAGGAAAATTGGTTTTGCCAAACAGAGAATAAACAAGTTTCCCAAACGAATTCTAAACTCAACGGATCAAACAAGTCAAACTCCTCCAACAAAAACGCAAGAACATTCCAACAACAAATCATAAAGGCCATAACAGAACAGCAAAATCCTGAGAAAACTCCAACATTTACGCAAGCGAGCAACAAATTTTCGAAATATCCTCAACCAAATCGCAGCCAAAATCGTGAATCCAGGCCCAAAAATAAGATGAAAGAAGATTTAAAAACACAGTATAAATCATCATCATAAAAGATCAGTGAGGGGGCCGCAGAAAAAAAGATCCAACATCATCAGTAAGCCCTCAAAACAGACGAAACTCAGCATCAAAACCATCACCATCGGAGAATCGCGGATAAACCGAACGCCTCAGGTTATCATCATCGACGTATTTCTAACCCTCACCGACAACAACCGCAAATCCGCAAATCACCACCGCGAGCCACCAGCGAAACCGCTCCAAACCCTTAAAAGGTGAGCAATTTCGTTTGCATGTTTTTATTTTTGTTTTTTTTCCAGATGCCATGGTGATGGAAAACGAAGAAGATAATAACAGACGAAGAAGAAAGCGAAAATGGGACGGACACAAAGAAGAACGAACAGAAAAGCTTCACGGAGCATCAATGGTCGTCACCGCGGTTCAAAGAAGAAGAAGACAAACCTTAACAAGTCTTTCCCCTTTATATGTTGTTTTTATTTTTTATAATTTTTTAGTTTAAGTCCTTTATTAAATTTATGTAAATTAAATTTTGTTTAAATTTTAAAACTTATAAGTAAAACTTAAACTTTTATAGCGTAATTTAAAAAACCCATTTTATAGCTTGATTTTAGTGCCATTTTTTTTTCAAACTCAATATTAAAACTTATTTGTGAAAATTAGTCAAAACCATCTCTTAAAACGTAAATTAATACCATTGTAAAAAAAACTTAAGTTTATAATTAAAACCTTTTTTAACTTAATTGTCAAAACTTAGTTGATACCATGTTAAAAAAAAACCTTTTTTAAAACTTATAATCATTTTTAAAAAAATTTAATTTTCTTAATTTAAAGACTTAAAATTTTAAAATTAACATTTAATTCACAATTGACTTTTTTCTTTAAAAGTAAAATCCATTATTTTATAAATAAATTAGTACTAACATTTTAAAATATTAAACTTAAAAATATTTTTAATTAATTATGAAACTCTTTTTTAGAATAATTTTAACCCAATTTTCTAACATTTCACTAGCCGTCACCTAAAATTCTAAAACTAAAAATTCCTAAGTTTTCCCGTTAATTTGTTTCATCTAACTCTCATTGTCTCTCATTTTGTCCATGGCTACTAATCCTTCATTCTTTTTCATATTTATTTTTATGATTGCAAATTATGCGAGGCTATCGTCGCTTTTATTCCGTCATTTTTTTCATGGTTGTAATTTACGCGAGTGATCGCCGCTTTGCACTGTTTTACTGCTTTCATATTTTCCTCTATTTCAATCCCGCCGTAATTAATTTGTCATTTGCATCATTTACCGTTAATTTCTCCTTTCGAAGGATCAGGTCTAGCCGTTTGACCGCCGAGTCAATAGCCCTAACCTTTGAATATTTCAAAACCCTAATTTGCCTAGGCGTCCCGCCGTGGATGAGTTTACCCTTTACCCTAGCATTAGGTTAAGGAGTCGCCGCACTCCATTTTAGGTTTCTCTCCGTGGAATACCTACTTTACCCTTTTAATTTAATTCCACTTTACAACCTAGAGAATTCGAGTCGCCGTACTCATATTTTTATGCATCCCGCCGTGGACCAAATTACCGTTTTCAAATTCAACTATTTACAACGTAGAGATTGGAGTCGCCGCACTCCACGTAAGTGTTTCCTTAAGAACGCTTATTCCCCATTGAAACCTTGACCATAGTCAAGAAGTTTCTAACCTCCCTTTCGAGGGGAACTACGATTACTCTGATTCCATCTCCTACCTCAGATACGTAGGCACAATATGCGAGTCTCGGCGAGTAAACTTAGGACTAACCCTTTGGTCTCTCTTTTCACTTCTAACCCTTAGCAATATACCTTCAAGCAAATAATTAAAGCAAAATAGTAAAATTTAAACAAAAGGTTCCTGTAGAGTACTATAGAAGTTTAGGGTGCTAATACCTTCCCTAAGCTTAACTAACCCCTTACCTAGATCTCTCCCCGCATTGTTTACGATGAAAAAAATTAGGTTTTCCTTCTTTTGACATCTTCCTTCGGATAAATCAAAGATCAGTTGTAAACTAAAGATGTGATTCAAATTAATAAATAATTTGATATCCTATTCTCACCGCAACATGCGGGTATGAGGCATGGTGGGTACCATGGTGCCCATACCCGCTTATTTTTATGGATAATTACCCGAACCCATGCCCGTACCCACTTTTGCGGGTTTTTACCCTACCCATTGTGGGTAATTTTGCTGGTGCCCATTAGGGATGAGTCAAATTGCCATCCCTATGATTAATTGATATTAATCTAATAAAAAGAGATGGGCCCAAGAAAAAGGAAATAAATTCAAATAAGTGTTTGTCCATTTGATTGTCACATTACTACATTGGCCCAAAAACATCAAAGCATAAGCGCATTGGGTAGGTTTTGATGTGAATATTATGATAGCATAGTGGTGTATGGGTTAATTTGGAGAACTTGGTAAATGTTTAAAGTGAAGAAAAATGCATTGTAGTAGAGGAAGAAGGTTGCCAAGACCAATCTATATCTCAAGCGGGTATGTGTTATGACATGAAACTTCATTTGTATATTATTTTGTCATAATTGTAGAATACTGATTATACGTTTATAATGGATTTATCGCATTTCATGCAGATCATCATCAGAATCCGAAAGAGATGAAGAGTTGATTGAAGCCACTTTAAAAGCACTATACGACAAAGCCAATGTTGGTTGCTGGAAGGAAGAAGAAGATCCAAAGGGTAGATCGGCGACATGCAAAGTCGGGAAACGACGCAGGTACATCTCGATCGAGTAGAGTTTAAGATAGTTCTAGAGAAGATGTAATTGCTAGAAAAGCAAAAAGGGAGGTAACTGATATGAATATTTCATTGCATGTGGTAGTGTAAAAACCTATTTACGACTTATGATCTGAT